GGAAGTTTTCTGTCATTATTTCTTCAAATAGGTTTTCAATATCTTGCTCTCTCTTCTCTTCTGGCACCCCTATAATTCAGATGTTGGTATGCTTGAAGTTGTCCCAGAGGCTCCTTGCACTATCTTCATATTTTTGTATTACTTTTTTCTATTGCTTTTCCAGTTGGGTGTTTTTTGCTCTTTGTATTTCAAATCTTTGACTTAATTCTTGGGATCCTCTAGTCTGCTATTGGATCTCTGTATATTATTCTTTATTTCAGTCAGTGTATGCTTAATTTCTAATTGGTCCTTTTTCATATTCTTGAGGGTCTCACTATATTTCTTGGAGGTTTCTAGAAGATCCTTGAGTAACCTTATAACCATGGTTTTAAACTCTGGGCTGTGTGCACTGTCTTGTAGTTAACCCTTGATTGCTGTTGGTATCACTGGGTGGAATTGCCCTCCAGGCCAACTGGCTCTGATGACCAGCTGTATCCACACTGGAAGATCTGTTGCACAGGAACACCCTTATGGGGCAGGATTTGCTTCAGTGAGGCTTTGGCACTCATAGAGTCTGCTCAGGTTTTTAGGCAGAGAAAGGCCAGGCCATTCATATGCAAAAGCCTCTGCACTTGGGTGGGGTTGTAAATTGGGTGGGGCAGGGTCTTAGGGAATCACAGAGCAGAGTAAACCACAATGGCTGCCAGTCTGCTCTGCCTCGGAGAGGTCCCGAGGTCTATGTCCCGCAGCCTGGTGCAGGAACAATGAATGCTGCAAGCACCTCTGCCTGAAAGCCGCCCTCACGCTCCGGCCCAATGCCAGACAGTCCAGTTTCTCTCATTGTGAGTCTGGGTCCCCAAATTCTAACCCAGAACTGGAGTTCAGAGCAGTTGGGAGCTTGTTTCTCCCTCCTGATTAAAAAAAGACAACATCATACCCAGCTGCCAGGCCCTTTCACGTGCACCTCCGTACCTCCACACTTCAGTACCTCTGCACCTCCTACCGGACTTAATGCGCTTTTCTCTTTCCTTCTAGTTGTAGAATTTCCACTCAACCAGCCTTTCACTGGTTCTGGATGGTATATGTTTTGTCTTTTAGTTGTAGTTTTAATGTGGTTGTGCACGGCAGCAAGTTAAGGTGTTTACCTATGCTGCCATCTTGGTTGACCCTCTCTACTTTTTAAACATTAAAACTTTTTTTTTCTTTAAAGAAGTAAGAACCACAATTTGTTGCATGCCTGGCACTTTTACAAATACTGTATTATCTAACTTAATACTCAAAGCCACCCTAACAAGGGGAGGGAGAATCTCAGATATTATATTTCAGGCAAGGAAAAAGGGGCCCAGAGTTTCAGTGTATGACCTTATACACACACAGAGAAATGGTACAACTAGGATTCAAACCTTAATGTGTCTGACTCCAAAGCCTACACCTAACCAATACTGCATAGAATATTAAGGAGTATTTTTCCCTTGATTAATTTGAAAATGTGGGCCTTAAGAATTCTTTTTTCTCCCTTGGCTGTATCTTGATTTTATAGGTAGTGAAGAAAATACTTAAAATTTCTATGAACGTGGTCTCCAGCTGACAAAGGTTAAAAGCAAAACAAAAATTGCTCTTTCACTTGGCACACGGGAGATAAGTGTTACGAGTGCTCAGTTTGAAATCATGGTTATAATTTCATGCCCTGTGTTTTAGGTGAGAGCACATTTGTCTTTTATTCTTTCATTGCTAAAAAATGATTTTCCTTACTGGGTGATAGATTTACAGCCTATAAATAATCCTGATGGCCACATCTGTTTTTAGCCCAACTGAGATTTAAAATAATAAAATAAAAAATAACGCTGGATGATCTGGACTCACAGACGGTCATTCAGTAGTCGGTATCCTGCCAGCACTCATTACTTGGTCAGGTCAAATGTGTTTATTCAACTTGGTATTACTCATAGTGGGAAAGTTCAACCAATTTTGTGACACATGAAATAAAGAAGAAAGATGCGTACTTTTTGTTAATTTTGTAATTGAGATCTTATTGATTATCCCATCAGAAACCATGTACCCAAGCAAGATCTGCTCCTGAACCACTTGTGCCATCTCATGACCATATGGGACGTTGATTTGCACTGCAATTTTCTGACCTCTGTATGACTGCTGGGCAGATTATTACTGTTTCCTGATTTGCCACATTGTCCTCAACTCTCACCTCCTCAAGGATCTATTTTCCTTCCACCCTCCAGATACATTTTCCTGATTCTTTCCCCAAATGGCTTCTCATCTTTATTTAAAGTTCAACCAGTACTTTTCAAACAAGGAGACTTTGTTTAGAAAGAAGGGTTTTGTTTAGAACAAAAATGCATTCTTTACCAAAAAAAATATTTCAGGCTATCAGTGAACATTGGGCATACAAAAAAGTACTCAAGACTCGAATATTTGAGAAAGACTGTAGTTTTATGAACTTCCATTCTAGCTGTTACCTAGTATCTTTCTGCCTCTCCTCTCTCTTATTGATCCTTTTCCACCATGGATATGATCTCAGCACCTTAAATTGTTCCTTCCCAGCTTAACTCGCAAAAAAAATGAAAACCTATGTCCAACCCACTAAGATAAATTACAAGGGTATCTGGCTGGGAGTTCCTGTGCCCAGCCCTTCCCTGCCACCACAGAAGGTGAGGGGGTGTGTATTTCCAGGACACCTGTAACCCTTTGTGGCCCACAGCTGTGTCACAGTATGTAGGAGGGGAAGCTTGCAGTGAACGAATTTGCACTGAGACCGCACAGAGAACTATAATTACGGAAGTAATGCATACGCACCTTACTGTTCTGCCTGTGATCTATACTGTTAGCAAATGGACATGTGGACTTCAGGAATGGTAGGACTACTCTCCACACAGTCTGTCTGCTCATCTGCTCTCTCCTGCCCATCCACCTGATTCTATCTAACATTTATTGATTTCCTACACTTTGTCACACACTCTTCTTGCACCATGGAAGATTCCAGGTTAACTACCCCTTAAAACTAGGTCACGTACTAACTTACTGTCTAGGGGCTTTTGAAGTGTCATGCAATATTGGCACTTTTCCAGAGGCTAGGAAAATGGTAGGCACGCAATAATGCCTGTCATCCGTGGAAACAACCTACACACTTAGTGTAATGAAAAAATTTTTAACCTCTTTTGTGGAGGTTGTATACTCATACCTCATAAAGCAGAAAAGGGGAACAAGATTGGCTAAAAATATTCTTATCATTTGAGATTCTTAGGTGGGAAACTTGGCATAAATTTAAAGTATTTTCATTCATCCTGATTCTCTAAGCCAGAGGTTCTCAACCTGTGGGTCGCGACCCCTTTGGGGGTCAAACAACCCTTTCACAAGGGTCGCCTAAGACCATCGGAAAACATATATGTAACTACATATTGTTTTTGTGATTAATCACTATGCTTTAATTATGTTCAATGTGTAACAATGAAAATACATCCTGCATATCAGATATTTACATTACGATTCATAACAGTAACAAAATTACAGTTATGAAGTAGCAACAAAAATAATTTTATGGTTGGGGGTCACCACAACATGAGGAACTGTATTAAAGGGTCGCGGCATGAGGAAGGTTGAGAACCACTGCTCTAAGCTTTGATTCCACCTGTGAACATTTGGTTGAGGAATAGTTATTTAAGTGAATTAAAGTAATTTAATATATCAAAACTAAACTAATTAATATAATACAGTCATTTTCCCCGTACAGAAAATATAGGCCAGTGGATTCTCTGCTGCAGGTTGTGACTTACTTAGCCCTGTGGGTCACCAGCAATGAGCACAGCCTGAGCTGCTTGCTGTCCCTCGTGTGTACATTTAACTCCTTGGGGTGAAGCTCATCCCCTGGTGTCTCGCCAGTACACACAGAGCAAAGTC